TTTACTTTGTTTTGTAAAAGCTCTAGTTTTGGGGGCAACTAGGAGGCACAGTGGGTAGCGCACTGGCCCTGGAGTCAGGAGGACAGCTCAAATCTGGCCTCAGGTATTTGACACTTACTAGCTGTGTGACGCTGGGCAAGTCACTTAACCCCCTTGCTTAGCAAAATAACCCTTCAGTTTTTCTTGTTTGCTGCCTAAACTTTGAGCATTTGAGTATAGATATTTATGTATATATATTCAAGGCCATGGATTTTACTATTGACTCTTTTTTTTTGGTTTTATCTCATGTCAATTTCTGGAGGGGTGTCTTAGCTTCTATTCTTCATTTTTTGGGGAACATACTTAGATAGTTTTCTCTTTTCCCCATCATTTTAGCTTAAAACCCCTTTGATTAGATTCACAAGGCACTTGGCAAATGCATTCTTATCACCTTTTGTTAGGTATACTCCATCTCTGGCCAGGAATCTGTCAACCCTAATTGTGAGATGTGATTCAGAAATCCAAATCCCATTCTCATATGCTACTTTATCAGCCAGCTGTTCACTTCCCTAATTAATTTTTTTCTCCAGAATCTCTTACCTTTGATAGGCAACAATGAGGAAAATGAAACTTATGCCTCCCTGGTCCTCATTTTCTTGCCCCAGACTTCATAATACCTTTTATCCTCTTGATTTCAGTGAAATAAAATGAGAACAGAAGCTTATCTCTCTTTTTTAGCTGGGGAAAACTGGTGTCCAAAATTTAGGTTGGCCTGGCCTTCCTGCTCAGGAGCTTGTCCACTAGACTGTGTGAATCCTGGTCTTTCCTCACTTGTAGTTAGTGTGATGTTTAAACAGTTCGAGATACATAGCTTCTAGGTAATTAATAATTTTATCAATAAAAGAGGTCAGCGGCACTCTCAAATGCCAAAGACCCCTCATGGTGGTAGGCTCACAGTTTATATGCCCTTGAAAGAGTGGGTATTCCTGAGGGTGGCAATCACCTCTAATTGGTTAATAACTAATGGGAGAATGAATATTACAATGAGAAGTGGGCTCACTCCAATGAGGGGCTGAGAGAGTGACATCATATCACTCTTGGACAAAGACACTATCTCTACACCCAGACCACCCCCAGCCTTGGGCAGTAGTCTCAAGGGACTGGCCATCTTCAGAGAGCTCACGTTCCAAGAGCTGAGAAGCTTGGTTGTAGGAAATTTTTGTAAAAACTGTTCAGAGAAAGAGCGCTGTTCTAGGAGAGCTAGGGGAGAACTTTGCTTAAAGCTAGATATTCAGGGCTGCCATTTTCAGTTGGTGGCAGGCATTGATGCCAATCTTAACAGTCTGTTGGAGACGGAATGTAGGGGCAGATGATCTCTACTGAGACCTTTGAGAACTATGGGCTGGAGACATAAACATTTGGGAGATGCCAGAACCTCCTTGCTTCTATCAACAACTTGGAGCCCTAATTAACTGCTTGCCAAGCTAAGCCTCTCCTATAAGGATCAGAAGGTAGCTGGAACACAAATGCTAGAAGACTGTTCTGGTGCTGACTGGTGGTCATGCAACGTTGACCAGGTCAGCCAAGTCATGCAAGGTGAGCTTGGGAAAAATCAGGCCTTGGACATGCGGTCTTGATAGAGCAGGATGAAGTGAAGCTTTCGGTTTACAGACATGGAGACGGTTCTGTTACAATGATGGGATACTCCAGTATGCCTATGATCAGTGTTCCATGGGGCAGTACCCACCCCTTAGATTTCCAGAGCTCTTTAGAAAGAATGGTGCTGCTTCCAGAATGCAATGAGTCCTAGCACATAGACCGAAGGAGGGAATGCATGGGCAACCACTGGGACATGGGTGACATGTATGGGGAATGGCCTCAGGGCTTCAGAACTGGACTGGCTGAGGCTGCAGTCACCAACAGGGTCATGAACTAGATACAATAACTACAAGAGGGGATAGCTCCAGGTTGACATCTTGCTCAGATAGCAGTGGCTTAGAAGGATCTGGAGAGATTAGTTCTAGGCATTGAACATGGGGATGAGTGAGAAGATAAAGCAGCTTACATCCTAATATGGGGAGAAGATGCATGTTCCTCCTCTGAACCCCATCATCATCAGGGGCCATTAGAGATAGCATAATTAGACAAGGCCTGAGAGTGGGTCTGTTATATATTAAGGATCTCGAGAGAGGAATAGAGGAAAAGAGGAATAAATTAGAATGAAGGGAAAGAAAGGTTGGGGAAAATTATCTCACATAATCAGAATATGTAAGTAGACATCTACAGAGACAGAGGAGGGGTCAGGGGCAGCGGCTAGCACTTAAACCTCATCTCATCTGAACTGGTCAAAGGAGGAAAGAATACGTACATATACAACACACAGTTGGATACAGAAATACCTTTCACTCAGCTGAAGTATAGGAGGGAAAGGGGAGAAAGGATAGGGAGGGTATATTAAGGGTAGCATTAATCCTAAGAAAAACAAACTCTTTGTTGCTTTTTAGTCATTTTCAGTCACATCTGACTCTCCATGACCCCATTAGGGGTTTTCTTGGCAAAGATACTGGAGTGGTTTGCCATTTCCTTCTCCAGCTCATTTGACAGATGAGGAAACTGAGGCACACAGGGGTGAGTGACTTGCCCAGGGTCACGCAGCTAGTAAGTGTCTGAGCCCAGATGTGAACTCAGGAAGCTGAGTCTTCCTGAGCCCAGACCTGGCACTCTATCCTCTGCTCATGTTGAACCAGTAGACCACTAAACCCCCAGCCTCTAAGAATGTACAAGAGATGTTTATAGCTCTATTTTTTTTTTTGGCTAGGCAATGGGGTTAAGTGACTTGCCCAGGGTCACACAGCTAGTAAGTGTTATGTGTCTGAGGCCATATTTGAACTCAGATCCTCCTGAATCCAGGGCTGGTGCTCTATCCACTGTGCCACCTAGCTGCCCCTATAGCTCTTTTTAAGGTGGCAAAGGATGAAGGTGCTCATCATTTGGGGGATGGCTGAGCTAGTTATGATATATACATGTGATGAAATGCTATTGCGCCATAAGCAATGATGAAGGGGATGATTGCAGAGAAACCTGAGAAGACTTATTTGAACTGATATGCAGCAAAGCAGATAGAACCAGAACAATTTATACAAGGGCCACGATATGGTAAAGATAAAACCTGATCCACGTAACGACTGACCACAGTTCCAGTGCACTAATAATGAAATATGCTACCTGCCTCTTGACTGAGAGGTGAAGGACTCAGAGTGTGGAATGAGATGTTTTGGGGGCATGGCCAATGTGGAAATTTGTTTGCATAGCTATATGTGTTTACAACAGGGATTTTATTTTTCTTTCATTATCAACTGGAGGAGGGTATTGGGGTGAGAGAGAAGGTGAATTTTTGCTAGTTGAAAAAATATAACTCAAGTTTAAAAAAAGTGAGCTTGATAGGTCATTGTCCTTGAGAAACTTATAGTCGTGCACATAACTGGCATATGCAATCATCTATGGACTTTGTCGATCCAAGCAAACCAGCGTGTACTCAGTCCTGAGCGCTCAATGCTAATAGACGCTGTGTTTTTCCCCCGAGTCCCAGAGTAAGGCACATGCTGTGAGGCTGGATGGTAATTTTAGTACTAAGAAATAGCTCTTCATGGAGCTGGGGAACACGATACGAGCAGTTGTGCAGGCTGGTCATCTCAGATTCAAAAAGGACTTGGATGATCAAAGGAGAACGATTGGGAGTGGGAGGATGGTCTCCTGCTTGCAGAAGCCACTTTAAACAGGCTTGTTGAATGGAGAGATGCAGTTTGAGGCTTGGCATAAGGAAAGGCTTTCTAACGATTCTTTTGTGCTTTGTTGTTTTCAGTCATGTCCAACTCTCTGTGACCCCATTTGAGGTTTTCTTGGCAAAGATATTGGAGTGGCTTGCCATTTCCTTCTCCAGCTCATTTGACAGAGGAGGAAACTGAGGCAAGCAAGGTGACTTACCGAAGGTCATACAGCTAATAAGCGTCTGAACTGGATTTGAACTCAGGAAGATGCATCTTCTTGACTCCTGGCTCAGCACTCTACCCACTTTGTCACCTAGCTGCCCTTCAAAAGATTAGAATTGTCCAAAAGTGTAGTGGCCTGCCCCCAGGAGGCGGTCTGTCTCTTGTCACAGGAGGGATTTAAGTGGAAGCCAGATATTGTAGAGGAGATCCCCTTTTGGTCGTGAGTGAGGCTAGATGGCTTCTGAAATGCCTTCTACTACTGAGGCTCTGAAGCCATTGACTTGGTTTGACCCCAACTGACATTTCTTAAATTATGTTGATGGTAGAGATGACCCAGGGGTATTTCAGCTGGGCTGACATTTGAGTGTGGGAAGACAGCAGGGTTCAGTGGAAAGAATGCTGAGCTGGGAATCAGAGGACCTGGGTTTGAATCCCATTTTAACCACTTACTAGCCATGTGATGTTGGGCAAAGCCCTCAAAGTCTCAATCTGGAAATGAGGGAGCCCTTTGGGGTCTCCTGTGAGCATATGAGTATCTACTTTATGTAAGGTTAAGTACTGTAAGGAGAGAGAGAGATAGAGAGTTAGACAGAGAGAGACAGAGAGAGAGATAGAAACAGACAGACAGACACACACAGAAACAGAGACAGACAAATGCAGAGACACAGAAAGAGATAGGGAGAGAGACAGAGACAGGGAGAGAGACAGAGACAGAGATGAACACAGAGAGGGGAGAAAGATAGAGAAGGGGAGAGAGAGAGGCAGACAGAGAGAGGGGGTTGTGTGCCAGGAGTTATTAGGGGACTACGTGCTAAGACATGTATATGGGAAAAACTCTAACGCACTTTAGTGAAGCATCTCAGTTCAGTGGGAAAAGCTCTGAGGCTGGAGACAAGATCTGGGTTTCAATTTCTCCTCAGTCCATTAGCCTCTGTGGGCCTCAGTTTCATCATCTGTAAAATGAGCAGGTTGATCGGAAGGTGTCTGAAGCGTCTTCCAGTTCCGCTGAGCCTGTAGAAGGCTTAGCTCATCACCTTTGCGCCAAGAACGTGAGTTCCGAACTCCTTCGATGGCTGGCCAGAACTTCGTCTCCTGCCGTTTGCCTGTATCCCCCTCTCAATGAATTTCATTCACCCTCCTGTTGAGGTCACTCTCCTTATAAAGCAAGCCTCTCATCGCATACACTGCTCCCTCCTCTCCCTCTAAAGCCTTGGCGTGGCTCCCAGGTTCCCATCTGTGATTTATTTTTGGCGTCTGGGCCCGCAGTGATCAAGAGGCAGAAACCAAAGAACAGCTAATTGTCTTCCTTCTGAGGACAAAGTGGGCCCGGGGACGCTTCCCCAATCGGCCCGCTCCTCTTCCTGGTCCGGCCCTGTCTCAGCCATCGAGCAATCTGGGCTCGATTATTGGAAACGTTCTCCGGACCTGGCCGGGAGGTAATGGTGGGCAGGCAGCTCAGTGATTGGTGTGACCATCAAGTCCTTTAAAGGAAATGGCAGCAGCGGGCAGCGGGCAGCGGGACGGGCAGTGAGTGGGTAGGAGAGAGTCTCTGCTGCTGAGCTGAATGCCTGAACTGTTTCTGACACAGGATCTGTCCCCCGCGGAGCAGTGCTCACAAGTACGGCTGGATTGATATCTTCCGGTGGGAAGAAGGGGACCGTTTTCTCTGGGTATGTTGAAGACTGTTTAATGGCTTGGCTGTGCGTGCAGCTTGGGCTTAGACCAGGGCTGAGGCTCGTGGGCATTGTGCAGTTTGGTCTGTGGTTGGGTGGGGCAGCCACACTCTGAGACGGCGATTTTCCTAGTGGGACGGGGCAAGCCTAGTATAAAGACACTGTAACTGGGGTCTCTTCTCCCTCTCCTGCCTAGGTCTCAGAGCTGTCCATCAGGGAGGGGAGCAGAGAAGAGGGGCAAAGGAGGGAGGGAGAGAGAGGGAGGAGAGAAGAGGGAGGGACCGGCAGGCAGAGAGCGACGGATGTACAGACAGAGACAGAGAGCAAAGAGCGAGACAGACACAGGGACAGAGAGCAGCAGTGTCAATGAAGGGGGAAGGAATGGTGTTTTTGCTCTTGAACTGAGGAAGAAAGAGTTCCTGCAATGCATTTCTCTTTTTTGAGGTCAGAATGAGATTAAGTCATCAAGGAAGGAGCATTGGCCCACTCGGGCTAAGACTTCCTCTGGCTCTGCAAGGAGAGACTGATAGCCCGGCAAGGATCCTGACCTGTGCTGGCTGGGGACAGCTGGTACAAAACCTCTGCTAAGCAATGATCCCCTTAGAAGAAGGGGCAGGGGCGGGGACAGAGGACAGGGAAGAATCACAAGGCAGAATGCAGTTATAGCTTCGGGCTGTAGGGTATTACTGACGGGTCTTAGGTGTTTGTAAACTCGGGCTTTTTTCTTTTCTTTTCTTTTCTTTTCTTTTCTTTTCTTTTCTTTTCTTTTCTTTTCTTTTCTTTTCTTTTCTTTTCTTTTCTTTTCTTTTCTTTTCTTTTCTTTTCTTTTCTTTCTTCCTTCCTTCCTTCCTTCCTTCCTTCCTTCCTTCCTTCCTTCCTTCCTTTCCTCTTTTTCTTCTTCCTTCTCTCTTTCTCTTTTCTTTTTTTGGGGGGGGGTTGGTGGTAGAGAAAGTTGACTAAGAAACCAGACACAAACCAGAGAATCTCTGTTTCCTGTGCTTGCGTCTAGATGTCTTTCTGATAGTACATCTGTTTGGCCTCCTGTTCAGAGTACAGAATCAAGATTTAGAGTGGGGGGAGGGCCATAGGGTCATCTAATCTGACCTCTTTATCTTACAGATAAGGAAACTGAGGCACAGAGAGGTTAGGCGACTTGTTTAAGGTCACACAGGTAGCAAGTGTAAGTGACAGGGTCAAGTTTTGAACACAGGTCTGCTAATAGGAAATCCAAGATGAGTAGAGCAAATCTTGTGAGTGTGTGTGTGTGTGTTCACGTGCGAGTGTGTGCATGTGTGGGCTGAGTGTGTGAATGTGAATGGGAGTGTCTGAAAGTGTATGGGAGTATGTCTGTGTGTAAGTGTGCATATGTATGAGTGCATGTGCATGTGTATATGTATATGCGTGTGCATGTATGTGTGTATGCATGTATATAGGTGTGTGAGTGAATTTGCACAAGTGTGCATGTATAGGTATGTGTGTGACAGCATGTTTGCAGGTATGTATGTATGTAAGTGTGAGTATGAGTGTGTGTGTATGTGTGTGTGTGTGTGTGTGTGTGTGTGTGTGTGTGGTCCCATCAGGAAGGGGGCAGGCTGATCTCCCCAGCCCTGGGAGATGCTGCTGCTGCTGCTGCTGCTGTTATTCTAAACCCTCCCTCAGTAACCAGGCCCTGAGCTAAGGGCACAAGAACCTCTTGGACCAGCCAAGATCCCAAGTCCCTGACACAGCCCGGGCTGACATTCGGGCCAGTCAGCAGAAAGGCCTGTTTGTCAGGCTCCTTCCTGAGACTGAGCTGAGCAGGCCTCGGGGAGGGGAAGCCAGGCCCTCTGTGCCAGGGGTGGGGGGAGCCATGGGAGGCCTGCCAAGGGGGCCACAGTGGAGCTGTGCTCCATTCCTGGAGGCCCTTCCCTCTGTCTTCCAGCTCTTCCCTTTCATCTCTTCTCCCTTGGTTCTCCCATTTCTGGCCTTCAGACAGATCTGGTGTTGGGGGAGCCTCTGTCCCCTCCCATGTTTCTGGGCCTGACTGACCCTCCTGAGGAGGAGCCCCTGGGCCAGCCTCAGGGGCCAGAGCCAGAGAATCTGCTAGGATGGATGCAGACCACGTGGGGCAGGGCAGGAAGGGGGAAGCCACTTTTCTGAGACCTAAGTCTGGTCAATTTATTAACTTGGCAAAGGGGCCATCTGCCTGAGACCCAAGCTGCCAGGGACATTGGGTCAGAGGCCATAAGGCCATCAGCAACCAGCAAACATTTACTGAGAACCTGAGAGCCATTCCCTCAGCTAAGAATGCTCTCCCCTCCCCTCCCCTCCATCCCTGCCCATCCCCCTCCCTCTGCCTATCGACATCCCATCTAGATATCCTCACAAGGGCCATCTTGAGCCTTTCCAGATCTTCTCCTCTGTTACTGCCCCCCAGACCAGTTCATGGGATTGTGGATTTAGCTGGGGCCTTCCTTAGAAAGTCATCCAGTCTAACCTTTTCATTCTATCTATGAGAAGGCTGAATGAGGGGGTGACAGGGAGTCTTGGCCTTGCTTTCTTACTCAACTCAAGGCCATGAAACCTGACTCAGCTCTCTTCCCCTCCCTCCCTCCCTAGCTGGAAGTGAACCCTCCTTCCTCCCAGCTGCAGAGGACTCTGGGAGTACTTCTCCTGGGCCCTTAACTCATTCTGTCCTCTCTCTTTTCATTATCCACCCAGGGGTCTTATATCTGCCATTGTGGTGGGGAGCAGGGTACAAAGGACAGGGAATGAAACTCTGGGTGCTGAACTTGGAGACGATGGACTTTGGGCAAATTACCTATCATCTCTTGGCTCCAGCATCTCATTTTAAAAAATAATTAAAGACACTCACTTTTATTGGGAAAAAATTGTCTGCTGTTTTTTCATATGCATATGGATATAGCACATAAACAGGCTCTGAACTTGTTAGCCCTACCTCCCCACTTTATCAGTATTGGTGTGTTGGCTTCCAGAGGGAGGATACAGCTTCTTTCTCTGGGCTCTAGGGGTACCCCTAAAAGGCTTTGGGGGGTTCTCTCTCTGTCTCTCTCTGTCTCCATCTCTCTGTCTCTGCCTGTCTCTCTGTCCCTGTCCCTCTCTGTCTTTGTCTCTATCTCCCTGTCTCTGCTTGTCTGTCTCTGTCTATCTCTCTGACCCTGTCTCTTTCTGGTATTTTCTCTCATTAGCCCCCTTCTGAGGCATTCCCAATATTTAATCAATGACTAGTCTCAATATAATTTTTAAAAATTAACAGCAATTTGCTTTTTAAAAAGGTCTGTTTCCTGAGAAGATATAGGAAGAAGTAAATAGTAAAAACATCTCCCTGAAAAAGGGGTGCGCTGTCCTCTACCCCTTTGGTCTCCAGGGAAGGTGGTTGTTATTGTTAAGTCATGACTCCACCTGGGGTTTTCTTGGCAAAGAGGTTTGGGAGGGGCTTGGGGCAGCTAGGTGGCGCAGTGGATAGAGCACTGGCCCTGGAGTCAGGAGGACCTGAGTTCAAATCCGGCCTCAGACACATAACACTAGCTGTGTGACCCTAGGAAAGTCACTTAAACCGCCCCCCCAATAAAAAGATATTGGAGGGGTTTGCCATTTCCTTCTCCAGCTCATTTGACAGATGAGGAAACTGAGGCAAATGAGGTTAAGTGACTTGCCAAGGGTCACTCAACTAGTAAGTTTCTGAAACTGGATTTGAACTCAGATCTTCCTGACTCCAGTTCCGGTGCTCTACCAGCTCTCCCCTGGGGAGGGTAGCCACAAATATAAAGTGGCTACCAAGCTTTTCTCCCACTAAGCTCACTTGGTGATAGCCAATGGGAGAGTTACCCCATCACTTGTAGAACATGTGTGGGATGCTGGGTGAATCCACTGCAGGGATGGATCAGATAGGATGCTTCTCATGGCTGCCTGTGGTGGGGATGGGGGAAGGGACCGGGCTGGGCTGGGCAGTGATGACAGACTTAGCTATAGGCTCCCATCCCTGGGTCTCTGGTAGCTCCTCCACCCTTTCAAAGCTCACAAGGTCATTCTATCTCTGATACTCATTCACCTAACGTTAGGGAAGAATGTATACAGCAAGCACAGGAGAAACAAAAATGCTGGGTCTTGGAGGCTTCATGGTAACCAGGGGGGCAGGGACTCTCCCACCTGCAGGCTATGGCACTTCTTCCTCCTCAGTAGCTGACAGAGAGATAGGCAGAGAGAGAATGAGACACACGCGCGCGCACACACACACACACACACACACACACACAGACAGAGACAAAGAGAGAGAGACAGACAGACAGAGAGAGGCAGAGACAGAGAGAGAGAGAGACAGACAGACAGACAGGGGGATGGGGAGGAGACAGGGAGGAGGATAGAGACAGAGAGAGAGAGACAGAGAGACAGAGGGAGAAAATGAGTGAGTGAGAGAGAGAGAGAGAGAGAGAGAGAGAGAGAGAGAGAGAGAGAAACGGGGAGGCAGACAAGGAGGAGGAGAAGAGGGAAAGAGACAAAGCAGGGCCTCACATTTAAAATGCGAGGGTCATTCAGATGACTTCTTTGGTCCCTTCTAGCTCTGAGCCTATGATCCGATATCTTCCATCTCTACAGGCTGGCACAGAGCAGGTGCCCAGTTTGCATTTGTTGAAGTGAGTCAGAGAGCAGGTGAAAAACGAGCAGTCAGCAATGACCCAGGCTTGAGGCTTGTGGGAAGCTGGACGAGGCAGTGCCTCGAGCCCTGGGGGGCAGTCACTGGACACAGACTCCAGGAATGTTGCCGAGGGGAGCTCCCCACCGGGGCAGATCCTGGGAAGTCACAGGGCCGTGGAAGCCAAGGACTTGACCCTGGCTCTCTCACTTGCTACCCTGAGTGATCATGGACAGGTCACTTTCCCTCCCTGGTCTCAGGCTCTTCTTCTGTGAAATGACCAGGCTATTTTAGGGGGTCTCTTAAGGTCCCTTCAAGCTTCAAAACCCCTAATAATGTGACCCAAGTTCCTTAGGGAAAGGGG